GGTGACGCCAGCTCCCGCGCTCAGTCACCACAGACCCACCCGCTGCAGTCCCCAGGTGCGAGCTCTCCGTCCGGGGGGCTGACGCGTCCCCACTGCACCTGCTCTAAAGTGGGGTCTGGCTCACTAGGTCCAGTCGCGAGGTAAGGAACCCCTCTTCCACCTCGCTGATCCTGATTCGGACAGCAGACACACGAGCCCGCAGCTGCAGTGGAATTCAGCAGACAGAACATCCCTGGTTAGTGGAAGTATTTCTGTGCAATGTTTATCATTTATCTGAAAGCCCAATTTCAGTGGCATTTTTATCAGGTGGCCCTAGACAAGAAGAAAGTCTCAGGGTAGTGTTAATGTGACTCAAAACTTTTGAAATGCTGCGGGGGTCTATCTCCTGAGCGGCAGACAAGTTTATCAGAACACTGGGGCTTTCGGACAGCTGGGGGTGACAGAGGGAAATAAACGTGCCCGGGCACTGGCAGAGACACCAGCGGCGAGCGACGTGCAAGCCGGCCATAGTAGCAGGAGTAGGTGTGGCCAGCAGCAGCACGCTCCCCTGACCTGCCAGAAGCCGGCCAGTCCCCGGCCCACGGGGTCGTCACAGGCGGCTTGCCCGCTGACCATGTTTGGGGCGACACCTGTTGGCCAAGGGCAAGCAGCTGGAGAAGAGTCCAGGTGCCAGGCACTAGCCAGGCACCTGGACGCCTGTGGCAGACGGGGGAGCGTGTGCCTCCAGGTGAGGGAGAAGCCAGCCAGGCACCAGCAGCGGCCAATGTCTGCCACACGCATGCACACACACCTGGAAACCTAGAAACGGCCCCCAAGCCTTCCTGTAAGCTGTAATTTAGCCTGGACCCCCACCCCCGGCTCAGAAATGTGGGAAAGTAACTACTACAAATAGTATCTGCGGGCCCTCCCTGGTGGCGCAGCGGGTTAGAGCACAGCACTGAGAAGCTTAAGCCGCTTCCGCATGAGTTTGATCCCCACCCTGGAGGTGACCACAGGGCGCGGCAGACCTCCCCTGACCCGCCCGCTGCTCCCCTCAGCAGTGTACTTCGTCCATCTGCCTGTTCTGCTCCCCGCTCTGTCTCTGGTGAAGCCTCTCACCACTCCTGCACCTCTGGCCTGTACACAGAGGTATACAGTGAGTCCAGTTGTAAAATAAGTAAATAAATCTTTAAAAAAAAACAGTATCTGCACACCCCATATTCAGAGCAGCATTATTCTCAATAGCCAGGCAGTAGAAACACCCAAGCGCCCATCAAAGGACGAACGGGGAGCAGAGTCTATGCAGACAGTGCTCCACACAGACTCCGGAGCAGGGCAAAGGAAGGGAATTCTGACTCTTGCTGCAGCGTGGTGAACCCTCAGGACACCACGCCAAGGAAGCAGGCCACTTACCAAAGACCCACAACGCCTGGCACTTCTAGGCAGACCCCGGAGGTCGGGGTCACGGGGGCAGAGCGCAGCATGGATGCTGCCGGGAGCTAGGGAGGGGCAGACGGGAGTCACGCTTCTTGGGGACCGAGTTTCAGTCTGGGAAGACGCAGCAGAGATGGGGTTCTGGAGATGGGGGCTGTGATGTCTGCCCACGGGGAACGCAGGGTGCCACGTCTGTGTGTCTGTGGAAGTGGCTCAAGTGGCCACTTGTATGCGTGTCACAGTAAAAACAACAGTCACGCATGTACGCTGGGGGCCAGAAGGAGTATCAAAGGGGAGAGGAAAGGAACGAGCTGGCCCGAAGATCCAGCAGGAAATCAGGGCAGCTTCCGAGGCTCCCTGAGCTGTGAGCCTCTTGGCAGCCAGGGCCAAAGGGAAATGAGAGGCTGACCTGGTGCTCCTTGTCTGATAAGAGGAAGTCATCTAGTGCACTGGGAAAAATAAACTTGTTCTTGGCACAAAAGACTAGGAGGAGTTTCGGTTGTTGATCAGGTTCATATTTAACTATCGCTTCCTCCGTGCTGACACAGAGCAAAACACTGGACCGAGCGCCTAAGGGCGTTTATTTTATTTAGCCATGTTCGACAGATAAGGAAGCTCAGGCCCACACCGGTACTGGTTTCTCGCCACCGAAAAGGAGGCCGTGCCTATTTGTATGAGCTGGTAAGCAATCTCTGAGGCCTAGGACTGCTATTAGCATTCATTTATATGGATAAATTCTGGCGCATTCCCAGCATCCCTCACCGGCCCCCCCGCCCACCACCCCTCCAAAAACCTACCAGCTCATGCCAGACAGGGATGCTCCTCTCTCGATAGCAGGGGAGAGATCTGCTCGAGAGAACAGCAGCAGCAAAGGGCGATGCTGGATTTGAAGCCGGGCCTGCCCAGCCTAGGGAGTACGGCCAGGGCCCTTCACCGGCCCTTACGATGTGCCTGCCACCTGCCCTGACCTTCCTAGGGACTGGGATTGGCTGCTAGCAAGGCCAACAAAGGTTCTACCTTCATGTGACCAGTTGTCTAGTGGAGGGGAGAGGCAGAGAATCTCCACTCTGAAGGCGAGGGTCTGGCACCCCTTTGTGAGGAGTCATCCGAGCAGAACTCACTCATGAGGTGACATTTTAGCTGTGATGGGTCTGGTAAAAATCTGGCGGCCATGCAAAACCCCAGGGAGTGGCATCCAGGCAGAGGTAGTGGGACGTGCAAAGACCCTGAGGCAGGAAAGAGCTTGACACATCATGGCAGGCACGCCAGACACAAAGAGCTGAGCCGTAGCCGGTGAGGGGATGTTCAACAAGGTGCGCTCATGAGAACCAGGAGGAAATCATCCTTCAAGTGAAGGAAAAGGAGAAAAAGTAGGGGTGGGCACATGAAAGTCAGGGCAGGAGAGACACTCGAGAGGAGACAGGTTGAGTCTCCCACTGGCAAAAGCCTCTGGCTCATTTGTGAACATGCATGTGGGGCGGAGGAGCCAGGGGCAGCATCTAAGGCCAGCCGAGAGGAGGCAGGACAGGGCAGCCTGGGTGGGCCCAGGAGGGGTGGGGG